TTTTATGCAGCCGTCCTTAATTTTTCGTAATTATCTACAGTTTCCTTTACAATCAATAATCTAATACTCCTTCCACAGTAGATAAGTGATGCTCAGTGCCGTAAAATCAGGGATTTTGAACTCTTTACTCATTCTTAACACATATGTCAACAGGAGGCGACACAGGGGGACACTTCCGTTTTAGAGACGAGATGAAAGGAAGCAAACTTCGCGTGTTGAACATTAATGACAGAAAAAAATTAAAACTGCGTCACACCATGCATAATTGTACCCAGGATAGACGCACCAGGTATTTCAAATGTGGTGGCCGCGAATATGCATCAACTGAAAGCAACCCTTTTGAGCTGATAGCCAAAAATAAAAGGTACTATATTAAGGTATGACTTAAACTTTCTTTCAGTTATCTCTTCACTAAAAATAACTCTTGCTTCACTCTTTTTCTTACGAACAACAGACAATGATAATAGTAATCACATATACTGAACAAAGTGTATCGTTTTTGATTGGTCAATGAATAGGGTTTAGATAGGTTAAAGAATGAAAGACGGGCTCCTAAAGAGAAGCACAAGTATTCTAGTAATTTGGTTTTTCTACTTGAACACCAAAACTTTTGCTGGTGATTTCCCTCAAGATTTTAGAGGAATTGCTTTTCAGAGTTCTCGTACGTTGCTGACTTTACAAGTCCCTTTCATTATTTTTTTTTTAGGTTTTGTTGAGAGTCGTTCCACTAATCAAATCCGGGAAAACGACCAATTAAAACAAATTAAAGACTAAGAGGAAGCCAATAAGAATTCAATGTTAAAACAACAAAGCTTGCATCTTCGCTGGAAACGAGAGAGACTCCAATTTGATTTTCGTTTTTAATGAGACCAATCACACAGCAGCCGAGTGAAGGAGCAGTAATGCAATCTCAAAACATTTCTGATACATGATTGAAAACACTTTCGCGAATCAAGTCGGAAATGTGAGACGGAATTGACTTTGAATTCCATCTGCGCCATGATAAAGATTAGCCAATGTGCAAATGAAGCATGTACACTCTTAGGATATCCTCAGCTCGGTAGAACATAACCAGAGTGTTACTGACAATTATTGTACTGACCGCGGTGTTGTGTTGCGTATAGGTAATTAACACGACAAGCAAAGATTCCTTGAAAGGGAGAATAATCAAGCTCAAGATAATTTGTAATGACACTCGGAGAGGTTCGACTAGAAGCGGGGTGTTGCTGTTCAAATTTGAAGGATCCATTAATTGTAAGTTTTTAAAAACTTCCACACAATATTCGGAGTTTCCGTTATCTTTTGTTTCCTTGACGTCTTTATCATGAAAGTTAAACAAGAAATTGCTTAGGGTGTCTAGATCAAGTAAAATACACAATGATGTAAAGTAACGTTGTGTTAAGGTATTTTTATACTCGACTTAAAAAAGTCAAATTAATTCAGTAACAAATCTCTTATCATATGAAGACATTAATGTCGACGTAGTGACCACCTACATCAACATGATGATTGCCATTTTTATGAATGTCTTCATTTTCTTAACCAGATTTGCCGATGTTGATATTTCTTTTCTTCTTCAAATTGAATAAAACTACTCCGAACTGACAGTTAAGCCTAGAGGTCTATCTTTGCGTGTTGGAAGTCGCACTAAATATATGTTATTCACCATTAAGGAGGTCCGTACCGGAGAAAATTGTCTGAGTTCTTGGAATCCAATGAGCCGCACAGTGAATTAAGGCCCACTAAATTGACCAATCATAGTGCAAGTAATAACTGGAAGATGTAACAATGTTTTTCCGTAATCAAATATACAGCACACTGTATTTGATTCTTTTGGATTGATGTATAATTCACCTATGCAATCGATATCTCTATAGAAACAAAAATTTCAAGGAGTTTTCAGAATAAGAATCTTGTCCTATTTTGACATTCGTATCCCCCGCGATAAATTCCATAAAACCGCAAATCTATGAAATCTTATTTTTGAATTTTTTCTTTCAAGGTTCCATAACAATTCCTTTTCGCCCAAACGCAGATGGAAAACGAATCTCCTTGGCCCTCATCGGTGGTGTTACCGCTGTCATTTTCATACTTCTTATCATTACAGCCCTCTTGATTTATCGACGCCAATATTTAAAGTAAGTGAGTCTAAATTCCAAATGGAATGACTAGTAAAAAATGTCAAAGCTGAGAGTCTTATGACCTTTAAAATTAACACTATCTGTGTTTTTTTCAGAGTTTTCTTTTCATTTTTTTCTGTCTTTGATAGGAGAGACCCTCATCCTGGGAGAGAGAGTGAAGACAGACAGGTACAGATAAAGACATTGTCGTTTTTTAACCATCCCTGTTTTTTTTTTTTTTTTACTCCTTAATCTTGATTTTTTTTTTATTTTGTATCAGAAAACAGCAACGCTAAGTGCGAGCGCGGAAAATGGATCGGATAATACAAATGGTTATAACGAGTTAGCTTACAGAAAAGTAGGTAAGTGAAGGCAGCCGTTATCAATATGGTCACCGAAAAAGCGCTTTTATCATCTAGAATGAAGAATACAGCAACTGTTGTACATCTGCAGTTTGTAAATAAGCGTTTCGTGATTATACTTTGCTACTGGAAAGAGACATGAGAAAATATTATAGACAATTTTTTTAGATAAACGAAAGTTTAAACGTTTGTCTAAAGATATAGATTCAGGCCATTGATCGCGACGCTTCTGACTGCTATACTGCTAGACTTCGTCAGGCGACGAGGTTGAAAATTTATCTGCCGCAATTTATAGCACATCGGTTCGCTGTCATTGGTGAATAGGAACTGGTCGAAATATATATGAGATTCATAAAGGAAACGTCTTATAAAATGAAAGAAAACTGCTGGCTGGTGATCGATTACGGGAATTAATCAGGAAAGAATTTCATTTCAATCTTTGCACTATCTAAAAGTGTTCACTATTTCGTTTTTTATACCTTGTTTTAGTCGTTTATTCATCAAGCAATCAGGTTCCTGTTCGCGATAACGAGGCACATTCAAGATATGAAAGAGGAAGTTATGACGGTAGTTCTGAAAAAGAACATGCGTACGCTTCCTTGGACATTCCTGAGGGATTAAATGTATATGGCCACAGAGACGACCGGGATACAGTTGCTAGCGATAAGAGGCCCCCTAAAAATGGCCCCGTGAGTATAGACCAACCCGTTTTTGGTCTCATAGAAGAAATCAATGGTGCTCAACCGGTGTTTAACGGTTTTGAAGGACCACACCGTGACGTTTCTCACAAACCTGGCCAAAACGGCACTATCTCTTCAGAAGGACCGTTCCACGGCACTTTGGAAGAGACTGCTCACTGCCTTGGAGGAAATACCCTGCCTATGCGAAAAACTCTTGAGTCACCCTACCTTAAAGATGTGGAAGAATCAAGCCAATATGGTTCCACGAGTCCGAAAGAGCCCGTTTATAACACATTGGAGGCACCTGTGGATGATGATGACAGTGACCCAGCATACAACATTTTAGAGGCTCCTGAAGGTGTAGAAGACCCGTGTGATCCTAGTGCTGTGTCAGTGGAAGAACCAATGAGTCATACTTTGGAACAATTCAATCCAAATATCTCAGAAAAAGGGAATGATTTGAAATGTACGACTGAGCCAATTTACGATACTGTTGATGAGTATCCATCTCATTGAAGTTCCATTTGAAGGGAAAGGTAGATTGTTGCAGTCGCACTGTAGAAACTTCTTTGACAGAGGATATCTGTGAGTCCAACGTGGCTTCCAGTTGTACTTTTGTTTCTTACTCAAGCAAACGCTCGAGTCTGAGAGTGGAAATAAAAAGTCCAGCTACGTGCATGTAAAGGCTAAGAAATTAGGAAGTCAAAAAGGACAGAGTACTTCCTCAATTCCACCCAACATTGATAACAGTCTGGTTTAAAATACGCAGTGTCAGATTTGATATGATCATCAAATATGGTCTCAAATGTTATTAGTTAAAAATTAACAAGACCTGACAAGGGGATTAGAAAGATTAGGCAGCTCGTCAGAAACGTTCCCCGTGGTGAGACGCAGGGCTGAGGTGAAAATTAGTTTGTAAGAGATAACAATAAGCTGAACAGAATTATCGAAAAATACTATTACTGACTGGGTCTTTGAGTACTCGTGCTTGTTTTAGCCTCATCACTCACATTTTCTCTAATTTTATAAAAGGAAACATTTTCATTGCTACAGACATAGCAAAATCGTCCGTTCTTAACTCCTTGTTCCTTGTATTCAAATTCCAACTTATTCAAGATTCGAAAACTAACTCCCCACACGTTGTTTTGAATTATGATGAATTATAGTGAGTTGCAGTAATGATTCGAAAATAAAAGTACCATGCGGAACGGTTCACGGTTTTAGTATGATTTATGCAGGCTAAATCCATTTCTATAGTTGCTTCTCTGTTCCAGCCAATCAAGTTACGTTAAATAAAAGTATTAAAGCCGCTGTGACGCTTACATGTATATCAACGACAAAAGAGTGAGTTCGTGAACCAGCTGGCTGAAAAGGAATTTTTTTGCCAAAGTCAAATGCAAACATGTTCATAAGTCCTATTTTAAGCTCATCGGAACAATAACTTTTGTGTTTTGCTTTGACTTAAGCCTATTTGCGGACTAACAACAAAGTAAATATAACCGGCGATAGACAACAGAGGAACAATATACAAACAATTAAGACGTCAACAAAGATGAGAGCACTTAGCGTGGTTCAATAGGAACGAAATTTTTGCTTGCACTATGACGCGGTTTTACGATGCAGAGTAAAGGAGCTCAGTGGAATTTATAGCTTGACCGGAACAAGAAGGTATGTCGAAATATTAAGGGGAAAACTGACTTTCTAAGGGGAAATGTTACACGTCAAGTGACTGAGGAAACGTTACATCGAGTTTTCTGAAGTCGATAAGAAAACGAGCTGGATCTTTCTGCGAGCAGATTATTTTCAAGATTCCAAGCAAACGGTGGTCATTAGTGAAGAAAGATGAAACTCAATATTACGAAAATCGTGATTATTACCATCTCCTTTATTACCTTAACGAGATCATCAGAGCTCGAGATCACCAGGGTAAGACCAAAAGGAAGAAATGGATGGATGCAAGGCAGAGATCTCTTCCAAATTAAGTTATCTCTGCCCACTCGGAACAGCAGGAACAACAACATTGTGAATTGTGCAAGATTCAGTGCTGAAGAGATTAGTCAAAGTGGCGATCAATTCACTTGTTCATGCTCCAGTAGGAATGCCACATTAATGCTCGCAAACGATGAATGGAGATGCCTAAAAAACGTTCACGTTCGTAAACTGCTAGGTGAGTGCATCACAAAACGATTTTTTCTGACGATTTCGGTAGAGATCATCTTAACCCAAGATAGGTAAATTATCTTTTTCACAGAAAAGCTTGAAATAATAGTTACGTGATGGTACAATTCATGTTTTTGTCTCAGTCTTATAATCCATTCTTCTTGGTTTTTGAAATCTCTTTTCATCGTTATAATTACTTTAATTACGAACCAACACAGCCTAATTTGAATTGTAGATAGCTTTATCAGCCTAATGTAATATAAGTCTGCTCGGATGTTCACAAATAGCATAAAAATAGGATCGATTTTTCATAACTATTCCACCTATCTAGCAGTATTGGGTGAGAATTACCCCAGATCGATAATCAATAGTGAAAATATAGAGAGGTCGTCCCCCTGTCTTAGACTCCCAAACGCAATTTCTTTTACATAAACTAAACCCTAAGAAATTTATGTAACTTTAGTAATGAGATAAAGTAATCTACATTCCTGTAAATACCTGCAGCGATATAAAATAAAACAATTAATGCGGTCAATTTTGTGTGTTTTTTCCTCGGACGATAAAGAGTTAAGGTTGTTGGAAAGGAGAAAAATACTGCCAATATATTTAACGAGGAGCTTCAATAAGCACGTCCCAAAATGTGTTCCTCATCGAAATAATTGCAACTAAATGAAGGATCTATTCTAGTTGTTCGAGATTTATGGGCATTTTGATTGGTTTTTTCAATTTTCATAGGCCTTAAGCTGCCTTAACTCCTAGACGAAATCATGTTTTACCTCTCAGTATAAAATTAGTACTCAGCTAATCTGCGTATTTAATGATATACCTCAACCTTGAAAACTCCCACACATCTATTTTTTTTGAAGGATCTACATGGCATTTCGAGAACGAGGGCCAAGACGATGCATTGCGCATACTCACGAATAGTGAGTCCAGAAGAGTGAAAGTGCCGTGGTTTTGGTTTTACTGCGGGGTAGACAAATATAAGTCTTGGTATATTGGATGCAATGGTTCCGAGATTCCACTGACGGGTGATCTGCAGTTGTTTACTATACAGAGAGGATACAATCACAATTTCCCTTATTTTCTGAAGGTGAGAAGCGAGTGGCTTCCATAATTGTAATCAAATATATATAGCGTGCCTGTGGTTTAAAACGTTGATATTCAGCGTTTATGTATACTTACGAGTATATCGTATTTCCGCCTGCCAAACCGGAGTCTTTAAATAATACGTTCGGAGTGGTATTTTCGAGGCCGGAAATGCGCAAATCAACTTCACTGACGTTTATGCGGAAGAAAGTGTAATAGAATAAGAAAAATTTGAAATGAAAGCTTCGTCAGTGAACGCCAAGATTGACCCTCAAGATCAATCGATCCGTCTTTTACATTTACAAAGCCATCCCGGCCTTTGTTGAAAGAAATATTCTTAATTTGAAAAGAAAGCTGCAAAGTTAGTATTCATCAAAACACGGTACACCTTCGATGGAAAGATGCTACACATAATGGCCATATTAACCTGCGCCGGGGTAAAATTCATTGACGCATGAAAAAATCGTGCGTTGAGAAGATTGACGCACCTGCTGTAGCCAATACGATGCAGGAGATTTATTGCATTGCACAAAATCTGAAGATCAAAGGATAAAACAGCCCTATATTGGTTCCACTTGAGTGAAATCTCTCTTTTTTACTGAAGTAGCTACATTGACATGTTATCTACCTGTCATATTACCTTTCTTTGACCGTTAACAGGTAAACAGGGGCTCGTCTAATGCCGATTTATTAAATGGACGCATTATCAAGCTTGGTATCCAGTGCACTGATCCAACAAACAATGCCCTGAGCACATCAGCGTTGCTGTTTAAATACGAAGGCAAAGTGAATTGTAAGTTCTCTTTCTCTTTCATTTGCACCGACAAAAATACCATGCTGTACCGAGGAGGTAGGATTTCCAAGTTACTAACTCTATTTCTCAGCTTTATTTTTGCTTCAGTCGATTACTATGATTGCCTAACGATGAATTCAATAGTACTAAATAATTACTGACGGTCATAATATTATATTGTATTCCCTCTGCATTATATTGCCGATTTCAGCCTGAGAGGGTATACACATTCAATCTAGTTAAAGTTTCTGAGGAAAACAGGCGGGTTTCTCTTTTTTTTAGAAGGGAAAATATGAGGGAAAATCTCAAACGAGCTAAAACGCTCAATATCGCAGTGGGTTGACTGCACTGTAATATTTTTCGTATTTCAGCCTTCTTGCGGTTTTTTTAATATTGTAGTGGGCTCGCTGTAAACTGCTTTGGTATTACCGTGTAAATTTTTTGATGAAAGGTTTTGGGTGCCATCGTGCATTGTAGATCTGATTTGGGAAAGTTTCTAAAGTAAATGAATAAATCCGGTTGTGCACACCTTACAATGACAATGTTTCTTCGTTACTGATGTGAAATAACAATCTTAATTAATAAATAATAACTGAGGCTCTCAGCATTAATGGATATAATGCAGGCAGTTTTGGTTAGGGGCCTCAGATGCCTGCATGAATAATAATAATAATAATAATAATAATAATAATAATAATAATCCAATAATACTGTGAGCCTCAGTACTCATGTTTCAAAGATCGACGACATCAACTCACACGAGGAAGGTCAAATTAACCCACATTTAAATGAACCACACAAATACCAATCTGAGATTATCGCACAAGTCTTACTCATATATACCAAAAACATATTTGCAGTCTCCAATAAATGTGCTCTTTTCAGGCTCCTTATCAACGCCAACCTCCCAACCTGTGGTATCAACCAAGTCTTTCAGAACAATTTTCCCTTCAGAAACACCAACTACAGAAACAACGCCCAAAACAACGTCAACAGCGAAAGCTAAAACTTTGCAAACAAGTACAATAGCAAAGACAAAAGCAACACCCAAAATTACTGAGACCTTCAAAAAGGACACGAAAACTACAATAAAGGTGGGTAACTTGACTTTGTCTCCGGACAAGTCGTCGTTTGGCTTATATTGCGAACGTGTCTCACTTTGTACTTCCTTTTCGTACTCGTTTTATTTTTTTCCAGCACCCCAGCAAAGAAACTGATCTTACTCTCTTTTTGTCCATGGTCCGAGATGAATCGATCACTCCCATTTTTTTTATTTATCATCCTTTGACTCCAAGACCAGATGTTTTACATATGCTTGTCCCTTTTTTAATTGACCAGCAATTATTGATCGCAGGGGGATGGAGGATTCTGGGAGGACCACGTGGATTTTAGGGGGAACGGAAGGGAATTCGTCGACGTTGCAAAAAAATATGAAAGAGGAAATAAGGAAAATTGATTGCCATTGTTAACTGCCAACGAGGGGGAGATGGGAGGGGGGCTTAGGGTTAGGGTTAGTGGGGGAGTAATACGAATATTAAAAGCCTTTTGACGAGATCTGGTAAATCTTATCGTGACAAAACCCAAGTTCTCCGATCTCCTCTAAGCAATAAAAAATGACCGGTCCCAAATTTTAACCAATCGTTTTATCGAAGACACTTAGATAAAAGACGAATAGGAAGAAACTAGGGAGTGTTGTCTTGATATCGAAAGCAAGTTTTCAAAGCTAAGACATATCCACAAAAGTTTTAGTCAGATACGAAAATTGTAGTGAAACGTCGGAATCAGGGAAATTTCTGATCGTGGAAAGAGACCGCGGTCTATCATTAGCTCCGCTTTTGCCTTTTACCACCCAGTTCCTGGAACAAGCTAAGCTACCTGTAAAAGTTTTAGGAATCTGGAACCACATTCAGTTTAGACAGGCTAATTTGAAGACAAATAAAAAGAATACGTCTCAAAGTTTCAAATGCGACAACAACGATTCGTGTGCCTTTGACAAAACAAATCATTGCCTTTATAACTTTTTCTCCATCATCAGGCTACTGCCCGTCCCAGTCTTGGCCGTGAGCAGAGAGTCGGTAAAAACTCATCAACCGTCGCCCTCATCGCAGGTCTCAGTTCTTCAGTTTTGGTTATTGTCATCGTTATCGTTTTACTGATTTATCGGCGCTTCTACTCAGGGTAAGTGAGTCATAACTTTAGGGTGGCTATGACGAGTGGTGTACTTCGTGAATTGGTGTTTAATGGTACTATAATAAATGTTGCTACACAACAATGTCTCTACCTTTTTGCGCAGCAATTCCTCACGGATTTCATTAGTTTCTCTTCAAGAGCATCATTTTAATAGACAAAAACCAAACTATAAACCTCATTCCAGAGACAATCGAGATACCGTAGGAACCAGGGTCAATGTGTTTTGCCAACGTGCGCGAAGATCATGACACGGGATTGCAATTGGCTATTCATTTTTTGCGATGGATTCCTCTCCGAAACTAAAATGAAGGAATATGATTTAATCGTAGATATCTGAATCAATCGCCATGCTCTTTTTTCCACAGCATGAAACTCTGCGCGAAAAATGAAACTTTGGACAAGAAGGTAGGTTTCTATAGAATGCTTGGAGTTTTATACTCATTTATTTACAATGAAGATGTTTGCATAAGTTTTGGCTGTTCCATATTTCGTTGTCACATCATGTATTGCAGGAAACAGCTGTAGTGAGCGGTGAAACAAGCTTAGCGTACGAGCCGGAAATCGATGATGAAAACATTTACAAAGAACTCGAGTTGAGAGAACCAGGTAGCTAAATGTCATACTTAAACTTAAGATTTATAATTAGTTAATAACATTTTCATTTCTTTACTTTTGTGTTACGTTTATTATTATCATTATTGTCATTAGTTTGTATGTATATTTATATATTATTTTTTATGTGGTCTCAGCTGGAAGATATAAGCTAGTTAGCTACTCTAAAATTCGAGTATATAAATATGTATTTATGTATGTATGTACAACGAATATAACAACAATCATTATGACCTGGAATAAAATGTTCTGCTGTGAAGCGACATTCACTGGACACAATTATAAAAAACCAGAAACAAAAAAACTGAACACACATCAAAAAAGCAATGACATCAACTAAAAAAAAAACTGCTACTGCAATTAAGGGACCAGTCATTATTTATGGGCGAGGGGAAGAGGGGAGGAGGTTCTGGGGATCGCTTGGTTTTCAGGGGCAACAGACAAGGGATAAGTGGTCAACAACAGAGTATAAAGGGGAATATAGACGATTGATTGCCAGTTAACTGCCATTATAACAAAGCTAGCAGAACCATGCAATCAAATATACGTAAGCGTGCTCAAAATGCCGATAGTGCACGCTGATAGCGTGAGCAAATCGCTTCGCCAGAATTTTTTATTTTGCGCGAGCGGCCATTGTTAGCGCCGGGAAAAATGATATATTTCGCGACAATAATGGGTACAGAGACTRGGCCCACCAGTTCCAAAACGAGGACAATTTTCCGGCCTTTTGAATTTTGTATTTAAACTGCAATAAAATACAACTCGAGCTTTCAAGAGAAAATTTGAAATGAAACCAATTCCCATTTTGGTTAATATTTCGCTTACCGCGAACAACCACTTCGGATATTGTTGTCCATTTTTCGCGTCGGATTTTATGCACAATTCCACCGGCTATGTTATAAAACAATTGGTTCATGCTTTTAGCTGTGCACTATCGAGTTATGGAGCACGTGAGAAGTTTGGAGAGCACTGAAGAAGCTAGAGTTGCCCTCGACTATTGCCTCAGGCAACTCTTACGCTTCTTTCGTACTCTCCAAACTTCCCACGTGCCTCATAACTCGATAGTGCACGCTAAAGCATGGATCAATTGTTAAATAGTGGAGGGGAAGGGTGGATCATGAGAACATTACAGAGCCTTACGTGGAGATCAGGTAATTTTTATCATGAAAAAAAAACCAAAATTCTCCAATGCTCCCCTCCCCATAGATAATGACCATTTGCATCTTAAAACAGCAATACCAGCAAAGTGTACGAAAGGAATATGAATCGTATGGCAGTTGTAATGGCGAAAAATACTAATAGTCACTTCAAAGCAGTTGACACCTCCATTTTGATCATGATCAGTATTGATTTTTTTAATCAATATGTATCTTACAGTTATCTATCAAATGCCAATTCAGCGAAATGCTGCACAACGTGCCGATGGAGATTCTCACGAAAATCACGTGTACGAGTCTGTTTACATTACAAAGGAGGGAAACTTTTATGGGCCAAAACGCAACGAGAAAACAGCCGATGGAGCTCTAGAAGCTTCAAACTATTATGAAACAACCGATATCAAGATTCAGCCATGTGGTCCCTTTCGAGTGGACTATTGCGAGTACAATGTCAGGGAGGTACCATCCCTGGCACCCTTACAGGGATCTGTCGAGGGACCTGATGATTATCTTCAGCCGGTGGACGATGCGTTTGTGAAACCTTATGCAGAAGTTGCGATAGGAAATGTCAATTATGGTTTTACATCAATGAAAGGGACAGTTGACAACGAATTGGAGAGACCTGCCAATCTTCATGGTGTGCAATCTGTGTACAACGTGTTAGATGAACCGTACGCTGAAAGTGCAGAAGAACGAAGTCATCATAATCCTGTGGCGTTAGCTATAGATGAGCCTATTTACAGCATTGTGGACGAATCTCATATTTATGGTATTCACTCAAATGCTGATTCAGATGGTACATACGAGCCAATTTACATTACCATTGAAGAAGAGCCTCGTGAAGGAATTATGAATAAAACACAATAAGAATGGTGTTCATGTATAATATTTAAAATAAATAAAATTTTGACGAGTAATCAATATGTAATAACAGTTAAGACTGAGGGCAAATATTAGAGCGTTCCTCGCTCCCAAATGTGATTTCGTTCTAATTAAGGTCTGATTAGTGTGGAAAAGGACCCAAGAATTTGGACGCCTCCCGGTTAGCTCAATGGATAGAGCGCTGGACTGATGTGAGGGAGGTCGAGGGCTCGAGCCCCGGCCGGACCAACACTCAGGGTCTTAAAATAATTGAGAAGAATTTGCTGCCTTTCTATAACATCAAGAAATGGTTAGATATTCCAGTGTTCTCGGATAGGGACGAATAAATGGAGATCCCATCTCCTGCAGGGTTGGGGAAGGAGACGTTAATTTCCCGCACACGAGATTACTGTGTGATGGATGTCCTCCCCTGGGGTGGGATGGGTGGGTTTATTGGGCCCGCAGTAATCGGTGCAAGCTGTTGCGGTGTCCCTACCGGTTGGCGAAGCTAAATAAAATAAAATTGAATAAAGAACTGAGTGGGTAGCTTGTAATTCTGATGGTAGTTGTGCATAACTGTGATCTTGGAGGCCTCTTCGAATGCCGAGTTCAATATACTGAAATATGCGGATATTGCAGTTTACCTTTGAGAATCAATTACCCACAAACATATTTGGCAGTGGAAATGAGCCCATTAATGGCAAGCAGAAGACGTCGTTCTTGTCTACATATAGAGCTTCCTGTGGTCGTAAGATGAACTTTCGTGTAGAGAATTATGAGTTTTTATTCCTTGATTCAAAAGTAAAATTTAATGATAAATGGCGAGGTTTCATATTGGAACTATTACCTCTATGTGATACCTGTGAGAAAATCTCTGTTTTTAAGGGATAGACTTTATCTTATTATATTATTTATCATATCCATCCAATTAACAGTGTAACTAAGAAAAACACGGTCGAATTTCTGTACAAATCATGATTGTGCAAACTACACAGAACTACACAGCACAATATACGATAATTAATGGCTTAGACAAAGTTTAACTCGGAGTTTAGAGGACTACAATTTAACGTAATTAACCAAATTGGACGAATACATGCTCGAGGTTGTCGGTAATTAAACATGAAATTGACATAACTGCAATTAACTTCAATGGCTGTATGGTTCCACGTTTACCTAGCCTTGTCTCCAACTAAAGAACATGTGTTTTTATTTAAGAGACTAACCCAGTGAAAAGATTGATCATGCTCAGTGTTTTGTCAGTTTTTACCTTCAACCTCCCTCAAAACGCTTTTTTCCCCACAAACACTCTTCTGAAACTCCGCCGGTGTAGTTCAGTAAAGTTTTGAAAGTTTGCTTTGAAAACAGGGACCTCGAATTGGGTGAGTTTCATTGATCTTGTTTTCCCACCTTGATAGTTGGCATCAGGTTATTAATATTCTTCGACGTCTCAAATGACGTTCGTTGAAACGACTTGACTGAGGTGACAACGATGAATTCTGAATAAAAGATACAGACGGCTATGCTAGTAACCATTGTGTCCCGACATTGGAAATAGAAGGAAAAAGTGTTTTGAAATCGCTTCTTTTTAAACATGGTCTATACTGAAAGGTCATGACCTCGCACAATATCACCCCTCTACGAATAATGAAAAAATGTTTCTATTCATGATACAGCAAACTTTCATTTAGTATATGATAAACCTGAAAATTTCTCTTGAAGGTACGTACCTGTTTCCTGTATGAGCATGTGACTGCGTCAGGTGACGTCGTTGCAAAGAGAAATGGGACAGGGTTATGCAAATTGCACGAAAGTGAAAAAATAGAAGAAAGAAAAACAGAAAGAAAACACTTTATATTTGAAGTATTTCGGAAGGAACACGTTAATGCGATACAAAGGAGTAATGAATTACTGGTATAATATGGTGACTACCACGAGTATGAGACATTCATTATTAGGAATATTTGATCCCCTGTAATTACGAAGTGGGTCATAGAAAAGAGTCCTTGTCGTTGGATAATTAAAGAGTTCCACATTGTCCTTAAGACGTCAACAAGATAAAGTCGAGGGTAAGTATATCATTAAATCAGGATTTATGGCCTCTGATAAGAAATGAGGCACTATATCTTGTAAAAGTCTATTAATATATATATATAAAATCAGGGTCTATAGTGCTTTTGAAAGATTTACTTCAGAACGCGACCACGGAATTTCTAAAAAAGAAAAATCCAGTATTTCTCGCAAAAACAGCGAAAATTGTACTTAATTGTCATTGTTACCAGTCAGTGAAGCAGAAATAGTGGATATTACAGATCTCTTCGGTGTCATCTTAATGAAGAAAGAGTCAAATGATTAGCCTTCTGTTTGTATTGGAATAATATCAGTTGAATGATAAAGGTCGACTGGTTAAAACACTCAGGAATTTTGTCTCCGCTTCAACAGTTTGCAATTCTTCAATTCACGAGCCCGCTATTAGCCGGGAGTCTGACTTTGGTAAGTAACGCAGGGTAAATGGAAAGTGGACCTTGCGCATTTTTTTTCCAAACATCACAATTACGCTGGAAGTTCTCGATTTCGTGTATAAAAAGTTTGATGCAAACTTGATACTGATATGTGTTTATACCTCCTAACAACTACATCATTTATATTTTAGAACTTGGCCGAAAGCACGTAGTCGTTTAGGACAACAAGGAAGCAGTTCAGTTTGGCAAAAAAAAATTTCGACCATCAGAAATGAAGACATTATTCTTGGCACTGATATTTCAATGTTTCATCATTTTTACTTTGGAACAAAACTTCGAGATTTTGAGGCGAAGCAATGGCAGAGATTCGATTGATATTCCTGCTTCAGTGTGTCAGAAGAGAGGCGCAAATCCAGCCATTAGATGCAAAACACTGGGTGCTTTTAACCTGAGACGCAAAAAATGTTCCTGTATATGTCCTTCTAGGAATGCCACATTTATGTTTCACCAAAAGAGATGGTCTTGTTTCCCAAATAAACAAGGCAGAAGTCACTACTACCGTGGTAAGAGAATACAGTGAAGCTATGTAATGAAAAATTGTAGGGTTCTTATTAGAACAAAACTCAATAGCAAAGGTAGGTTTTATATATTACTGACAAGATGGGGCGCCAAGAGAGCCGTACTTTTTAACTAAAGGAAATGGAATCGAGCTCATCAATCTGTCTGACACACTTTTATAGCATTTTGAAAACGCGTAGATTTTTGCAATGTTAATATAACAACCAAACGTAACCTAAAAACCAAAGCGTTACTTTAAACTAAATTGCCAATACCCTGCCATGTTAGTCAGCTATTAACTTTCAAATTTAGTCATATTCACAAAACATATGGACATGATTACAAGGGAGCAAAAATTAACATTCATTTTTCTCACACTGATATCTCGATATCTGCTCAACTGAGGCTTTATATATTTATCCGAGAACTGGATTAAAAGACTTCTCTAAAAGTTAATGAGGACTTAGGCTAACGAAACTTTCCATCATTACATATGACCTTTTTGTTTTTCTGTAAGGCACTTGATTATTGTGGCCCATCCAAGAATACTTGTAAAATTCCAAATTGTTTTTGACTCAAAAGTGTTGTTTTGATGCAAGCTGTGGAATGCTTTCAAAACTCCTGTGAGCTAATTTTTGGTACAATTTAATCTTTTTAGGAAATAAGTTGAGATTTTGAGAATTGCTTGATTTATTTTCTGAAAGTGAACATTTTTCTGCACCTACAAAGTGCGTCCCGAAAACAAATCTCTTCAAACAGGAGGATTTCAATCGTAAACAAATTTCAAAGTAGTTGGGCGGCTCAATACAGCAGGAAAAATTATTTTTCTTAAAATGCCGTCTTTTAAGACAAGATCAGGTGTCCACTTAAACAAGTTTTTGGGAACGAGGAGCAATGTGCCATTCCTAGAGAACAATACTCGTGGAACCCATATGAACTGAATAAACAAATTTGGCGCAATTCTGATCTAAGACAATCGTGAGCGAGTTGACCTTGAAATTTGTGAAACTAAATATAATTTACGAGTGTCGTTCCTCTCAAAAAAACTTTGATGGAAAATTTGCTTAAAGATAATCCACGAATTCGATGTACAGCATATTTCATAATTCTAGTTACAGGAGTAACCAATGTGACAAGTTATACAGCTTCTGTATCATTTAGATTTATCCAAAGTCGTGTTGATACTGGAATTAATTTTATGAGAAAGACCACAAGGGTAATCACTAGCTCTTTAAGTTCGCTGCGATCTTTCGAGACAATGAAGACTCAAATCTTCCAGATCAGCCGGATTTAACAGGAATTTCAACAACAAAACCTGTTATGTCTCAAAACCTAATCTTTCCCCAAGCTTTTGTTGAAAATAACGTTTTAGTCTTATAATGCTGAAATCGATAGCGTGTTGCACTGTAGTTCAATATCCGTGAACTATTGATGAATTTTATGGTCATAACCATTTTGTCAACCTTTTTAGCTCTCAATTCATCACTGAAAAATGTTCTTAACATTTCTGTCTACAACTCTTCTGTGCTGTATTCTTTTCATCATGCGCCAGGAAGTTAACTTAACTTTGCAACAATATAATGTAATGAACCTTTTTTGGGCAAGCAAAATATAAATTAACTTAGATGGGCTGCATGCCGGATAAATCTTTGTCAAGATAATCAACAGCTATACACCGCTTGATATTGGGCTCAAGTTGTGGTTTTGTTGTCATTGGAAATTGTCGAAACAAATGGTTGTCTACCTTATCTTAAATCTAAAAAAGGTGGTAACTGAAAGTTAAGTATATCCACTTATAAATAATTGTGGTTACGTCAAGCGAACCTCTTATATTAGTTGGTGGTTTAAGTTAGTCTTGATTGGTGAGAACCATTTATGCCTCTTCTATACCATTTCCCAGTGAAAAAGCCTAAAAACGTAAATGGAGATCTCGGGCCAATCATTCTGGGGGTTCAAGTTCCAGATATGTTGAACCAAGTTTCTAAAGGAGAAAAATCTGCATTTTGAAATTGCAAAAAATACCATTGGTCAGTATGATTTGTAAAATAAAATAAACAATCCTGAAAACTGCAATTGATGACCAACCGGATAGACAGATCCTAATTAAGAAATCAGACACAATAAAACTACGGACATGACGCTGGAGGAGATATGACGGTAAACAATTTCGGACACGCACGCGTCGTTTATCACATTTTGAAGCAATTCCGTACTGAATTATAAAATATAATTACATAATCAAGTGCTTGCAGAAGTCACAAAAAATATGATGCTGCACTCTGTCGAACGTCTAAGGCTCGAGAAGACAGCTCTTGTTAATTTTTTACTGTGGTCAATTTCCATTATGAACTCTGTTGTCTTTTGCAACCAGAATCACTTCAATAGAAGGATGCTAACTGTGTAGCACAATCTGTTTAGTGTGGGATGTAGAACGGATTTAACGATGTATAATGCTGGACTATACAAAAAAATTTCGAAGAGATATTTTACGAGTTTTTTTTTTCCCACAATTTCAGGTTGCAGTTTCACAGCAGCATTCACTCGTGAGAGTGGAGACCGCCGAATACCATCAATAGGGATTGGAGAACGAAGATACATGTCACTTCGACCAGTATTTGGATTCTGGTCGCTATGGACATGCTCACTGAATATTCCCATGTCGTGGTTTGCAGATTGCTGGGATACAAGGCACCGGTTGAGTCAATATTCCAATATTGTAACGAAACTCTTCACAATTGGCCAGCGAAAACCAACGGATCCTTACTTTTTAAGGGTAAGCTCAATTCCTTACTAGTAACTTCATACTTGTTACGCAGCGTACTCTACTATTTCATCAACGCTTCTTGCTAAGACTTCTCGGACGCATCAATAATAATTCAGTCGTACCCGCGGCGTTTTCGGAGAATTGTGCTGGAAACGTTATTTGCTTTAGACAACAATATCCAAAGCTATATTTAGACAAGTCGATGACGCTATTGTGGCCAAAAAGAAATCAACTCTTCGTTTCTGCGTCGATGTGCTAAATTTTGTCAGCGGTTTTATCTCTTGTAGACTAAAATGGCAACGTTTGGGTTTGAAATCAAGTAATATTGATGAATGATATTGCAGTGTACTTACAAAATGACTTCTTTGAATTGTGTTCTGACAATGTTCGGATATTACGTAACGAAGACTTTCCAGCGTACGTACCGACGCGGACTTAGAGTTTTTCTTCCATCGTAATTACAATGGAAGACCGGTCCTAATTAAAAAAAAATAACTTCAACACAAAATTTTTGCATTGTATTTTTGGTAATAATGGAACCGGATAGGAAAAGAGAAAAACTGGATATCCTGGATTTCCGAACGTTGACAAAAGATCACCATTATAGGATCATATGAATCCCGATGACTATTCATGGATCTATTTTGAGCCTTGTAATAACCATCCGGTGTTATTGAATAAAAACCGAGGTGCTTTTAACATTAACCGTCTGTAATAAAGTATTTGTATAGGCCCTACATCTTATTCGACGGTGCAGGACTTAAAACGGCCTCCAAAAAGCTAACAAAAGCAGCCGAAAAGCAGTATTTCACTTTTGCCGACCAATGTGTCAGTCTGATCACAATTTACTTCCTCAATAATATTGTGCGAGTGACACAACGTATTCTTTGGCACAAACGGCGGCAATCACGGGATAATCCCGGCGTGTTCCCGTCGTCCGAATTCCAAGCGGGAATCTCGCTACCATCCCGGTCAAAAACCCTGTGTCATCCTGGCGAAAATAGGTCCGTTATCCCGGTGGAAATTCGGGTGGGATCCTGTTCCGAATAACAGATCTAGTGTTCAAAGTGAAAGCCGGCTTAAAATTTGCTTTTTTTCCTTAGGTAAATAGAAATGTGCCCGGTACCAACCTTTTCCAAGGAAAGATCATGAACTTCATGGTGGAGTGCACCTTGCTTATTGGAAGCTCACCTCTACGAACACGGAGCTGCCTGTTGTTCAAGCTGGAAGGAAAGACCACATGTGAGTTATATTGTCAAATAATTTTTGCGTCTTGAAGGATTTGAAAATCCAACGCTTAGCTCAGGCTAAATAAGGAGGAAAAATATGCCAAACGAGTTTCGCTTTTTTTTAAATTCTTATTGTGAAAAAAAAAACTGTATGGCATTTTCTGGAGGAGACTTGCTACTAAATTAAAAACTTGTCACAAACTACATTACTGTTTCCTAATGTGCCGCAGATGGCTTGACATTGACATTTATTAGGAACATGTTTTGACCTCAGACGTCCATTGTATGGTAACTTGTGTTTTGGGATTACGTTATATTTTCTCGCAATCATAGCTCTACCAAAGCAAATCCAAAGCGCTCGCATACTATAAAAAGGATTGCAAAATTGTTCCTATTATTCTTCGATATTCATCCCAGCCTTTGAGCTATTAATAAGTAATCGAGTGTATCCCCTTTCATAGGTCCCGTAACCAAGCCAGTCTTAACAAGTTCCTCCACTATGCCATCGTTATCATCTTCTTCAGCATCGTTTACTTCATTAAACGGCCTCTCTAAAACAATCTCTCACGGTGTCTCATCGACAGCTATCGCCACCCAATCTAGCATCTCCGTAACTTCGCTCTTTCCGAAAGCATCCGCCAAACATAGAATTATCACCGTGAGTTCATTGAAGGCTTCGACTCTACAACCGACAATTTCTATAATCCACCCAAAGGCTTCCAGTTCAAATTCACATGTTTCTGCGATGTCACCGACACCATCTCTTTTACAGTCTATCGCCTCTGAAACTTTTGCGGAAGGATCCGAAACTCAAACGACCATGTCCGAAATTGCACCAGCACCACTCGATACCCTAGAAAGATCACTAACAGAACCAGAAATCGATAGGCCCCATGCCCAGGTGACTATCAAAACAACATCAGCTTCAGTACCAGCCACTCAGCCGACTGTCGCCGAGACTCTACCAACGGAGCCTACAGCACGGACACTAGGCCAGGTGGATCCGAAGACCAACAATACCAAACCGACAAACTCCTCACCAAAAGTAAGTTTCAAATACATGAGGGCTAGAACAATAATTCATTTTCACCTTGTTGTAAATCATCTTGATGCACCTAGTCGCGTCTTAATTGAGCGAGTGGAGAGTGGCTTGAAGTGCTTCTTTGTGCAGAAAGTGGAACGGTAATTGTTTATACGCCCGATGCCCGTTTACAGAGAAAAAACCTAAAAAGAGCTAATCCATGATGTTGTATACTACTTTTTACGAGGTACAAATCTACCTACATCTCCAAGGAGACTGCCATATATGAGCTTATCAAGAAATTAAAACGAAATAAAGCAAAAGAGAAATATATTTTAAAGCTGCTAATAACTGACCTCTTACTATGGAGAAGATGAACATGGACTGAAAATTACCACTAAGAAAATTTTGACTTCTCAAGATTGATCACTTTAAAATGAGCCTTAAATTTGTGTTAATCTTTCTTTGTTAACCAGGCTCCTCCCTCTATCAGCTCGGACTCTCGGCAAAAGAATAAAGGAAGCAAGGAATCTTCTTCTTCATCATCAATTTTCATTATTGGAATAGCCGCTGCGCTAGTATTCGCTGCCGTCATCGCCGTCATCATTGCCTACCGTCGCCACTACTTAAAGTAATTATAACCCAGACATAACCCACAATGCTTTTTATAGATAATTTTTCAACTGCTTTGTTCTAATCCTTTTATACTGTCATTACAAATTCACTCATTCCGATTTTATGTGTCCACAGAGAAAGGCATCGCGCAAACTCTGAAGGGTACGTCAGCGATGGGACAACGGTGAGCTCTTATATGTATGACAAGGATGAGTAGCGAGTCTCACTGCTTAATTTCATATTTTAATCTCAACATCTAAATTTTCTTACAGGAAGTAATAGTGATGAAGCAACGAAGACCACATCCATCGAACAAAGATAAAAGCAACAACAATACACCTGGATTTAAAAGCCAAAGTGAGTCTGAACGACTAAAAAGATTTCATTTACTCGTGATTATCGATCAGCCATTATGGCTCGACCAGTTTGTAATGAGGAGTAAACGTCGTTATCGTTGAGCTTTGATCTGAAATAGTTTGGAGAGAGGAGTGAAAGGGGGGGGGGTTAGGGAGGGCTTTTTAATTTTCCGGACTGTGAAGGTTTTAGGAACTTCTTCGATCTCTCAGGTAACTGTATTTTTTTATTTTCAGCGCTACGGATGTCAACCAACTGTGTTCCACCATGGCTAACCGACATGTCTCAATCTCATGTAAACGGTTCACTTGAGGAAGAAGACAGAGCCAGCCACTTGTACGCCCCGATTGAAATTCCGAGAATTGCGGCTACATCTCAACCAGAACCTTTCTATCACGTTTTAGAAAATCCTGGAAAACTTCTTGACCAGGTTTCAGAAATCAATAGACATGGTGCCAATATACACTGCAACAAGAGAGAGCCATTTTACTATGTCCTTGAGGGACCTTATCTTGACGATACAGAGAGATCTGCTCAGTGTGGCGCCAGTTCATCGGAAGAACCAATTTACTGTACCTTGGACGAAGTCTATCCTCGTCGTTATGGTTCGTCACGTGACACTTGCGAAAATGATTCAATATACAACGTTTTGGATAGACGTTATTTTAATGGCTCAAAAGTGCCTGATCATTATGTATTCGTGTCTCCTAGAGTAGACATTTTGAACCGGCTAGAAACACCTGATAAGGACGTTTCCACAGCTCCTTCAAATTATGCCCCTAAATGTGACCACATGGAGAGGCAGAAGGTTCTTGACAAACGCTTCTTTGAAGAATCTGAGGTCGCTGATCATTATGTACAAATTTTCCCTTTCACACTTGATAACATGATAAGGCGTATCAATCCTACGTCTTCAAGAAAATCAAGTTTGGGTCGTCTTTCTACAGACGGCTATTTAGAGGAATGCTATTTTCAAAGGTCTAACATTCCTTCTCAGTATGTTAATGTAGCGCTGAGTGTTCAGGGTTTTAGCGCTTTGGAAGAAATAGGCTCAAATCCAAACTCTTTAAGGAGAACTGCTTATGTTCATTCAACCCCCAATTCTTTGGAGAGACTCGACTGTGTGTTGAAAGGTCCAGATGAACCTGAGTACAGTTCTTGGAGAGAACTTTATCTTAGTGGCAACGTGGTGCTAAACGAAAGAGGCCCTAGCGCTTTGGAAGAATTGAACTCAAATCCAAATTCTTTGCGAAGAGGCGCTTGCGGTCATTCATCTTCAAATTCTTTAAAGAGACTTGATTGTGCGCTTAGAAGTCCAGATGAACCAGACTATTGTCTTATGATGGAAAATTATCTGAAGGGTAATGTGGCACTGAGCAGACAAGGTTTTAGTGCATTGGAAGAACTAAGCTCAAATCCAAATAGTTTAAGGAGAAACGCTTGTGTTCATTCAAATGGAAATTCTTTAGAGAGACTTGGATACACAGTCGAGTGTCCGAATGAGCCAGACTACTGCCCTATGATGGAAAACTATCTCAAGACCAAAGTGACGCTGAGTGGACAAGGTATCTGCGCATTGGAAGAACTAAGCTGGAATCCAAATTCTTTAAGTCTGCAGAGACTTCATTCTACCCAAGGAGGTCTAGGCGAACCAGAATACCGTTTCATGAGTGAACGTTATCTCAGGAGCAAGGTAGCGTTGAATGGACAAGATTCTGGCACGCTAGTGGAATTAAGTTGCAGACCCGAGAGCGTTCATTCAAATCCAAATTCTTTGCATAGATTTGACGATGCCCTTAATTGTCCAATTGAACCCCATTACAGTTCTTCGATGGACCGTTATCTAAGTGACAACGTAGTGCAAAACGTACGAGGCCCTAGCGCATTGGAGGAGTTAATTAGCTCAAATCCAAATTCTTTGAGACGACCCGACTGCATTCATAATCATTCAAATGAAAAAGCTTTGGAGAGATCTGACTATGTCCTTGAATTTCCAAATAAACCAAACTGCAAATCTTCGATGGAACGTTATCTAAGTGACAACGCATCGCTAAACAGACGAGGTCCTAGCGCATTGGAGGAGTTAATGAGCTCAAATCCAAACTCTTTGGGACGACGCGACTGCGTTCATTCAAATCGAAACTCTTTGCAGAGATCCGATTACGTCCTTCAATTTCCAAATGAACCAGAATATAGTTCTTGGATGGAACTTAAAATGTATTTAAGAGCCAACATAGCGCTGAATGAACAAGTTTCAAGTGTCTTGGAGGAATTACACTCAAACCCAAATTCTCTCAAAAGATCTAATCAACATTCTCTAATGAGACCTGATTGTGCCCTCGAATGTCCAAAAGAACCAGATTACAGTTCTTGGAGGGACTCACACGATCCTGATCTTTCTGTCACCAGAGGTGAGTCAGGTGACAGCACAGAAGATATGAATCTCAACGCCTTCAAACAAACCGATTGTGAAGAAAGAAGCGGCGCAAATCGTTATCGAGGAATCACATTGCGCAGGGGCGCAGTAATACGGAAAAATATCGCAAAAAAACCATCTGAAGAGCCTACTGACTGAACTCAGGACGGAAGTAAAGAATGCTAAAGTGACGAGCGCCTTAGCTGGGAACCAAAGGAAACTGACAGTATTAAAGAATCTAAGCTGAGTGCTAAGAAATTATCACAGTCCCTACCATGAACTCTAGAATTGTCACGGTAGGGAAATTTTTCGAATAATCGCACATAATGGTAGAAAATGGTCCGAACACCAGCCTGGTTAGGGCTAGTCAGCGAGTCAGTTCAGAAGACTTAGGACGTAAGTAAAGAGTGCCAACGAGAGAAGCACCTTAGCAAGACCTCTATGGAACCTGATCACTAGAAAACGTTTAAGCTGCGCCATGAGACATTCACGCAGTCCGTAAAGTGAACTCCAGGCGAAATATCAAAATGTTTTGGCACGCTGTGAAAGGTAAACGACCTTGAAATTACACAGGGGAACTGAAACGACTTTAGAAATACGGTAGATCATCAGCATAGGGAAATGCACGACGAAAATCCAGACTAAATGGGAATATATTAGTAGTTTGGGATTGGATCATGATTAATTTCCTTCTTGGTTAATTAAAAAATAATGAATTGGTACGCATTATGCGACATTATTATCGTGCTTGATAGTATTTCTGAGTAGGAAAGTTTTTTCGGAGTGAGCAAAAGTTATCTGAAAGAGAACAAAGATCGGACTGTCCATCCGCAAAAAACATTTTATCCCAAGAAAACGGTTTACCGGCTGTTATCGTTCCATGAAGAACACCTACAATAGGAGACCTGGATTCGTTTAGCCTGCTATCTTCTTTCTGCGCTGCTTTTCAAGATTTATCAGAATTGACTTTTCTCAGTGAATGGTCTTACCTTCGAGTCTTCATGTTTTTCGTACTCTCGAGATTTAAATATAGACAATGAAACACCAATTTTATGATGAAATTTCGAGTTATTCCATTTTCGTCGTCGTAGTATAAATGTGCCAACCACCAGCTCCCTTTTTCGTTCTTTTGTTTAGTATCTGGCCACAGCGTGTCTGATTTAAGAGTACAAGGCATGCATCGTAGATAAACGCAGAAATTAGAGTGATTTTCATTGTCTTTTCTCTGGCACTCTCTTAGTTGCTGGAGGTTGTTCATTAACCTTTGGCTCTCTATAATGATCGAGGCAAAACTTCTCCTTACAATATCATAACAATCTCAAGCAGAAAAGCGACGACGATAAAATAAAATGTAAAAAAGTGATGGGGATAAAGAAAAATATGAATTAGAGGATTATTAGCTGATCCAAGACCAAATCCTCCAACCTAAGATCATAAGAGTTGTATGGCAAGCAGTGAGAAGAATTATTAGCGAGATCTTAAGAGCTCAATGGTTAATGTTTGTTTTTTCAGTACGAAATAAACTGCAATCACGGATGACGTACCCTGCGTACCAAAGGGTTTAAAATGCACTTTACCGGGTGATGAGGTATTTTTCGTCCCAAACCTAACGCAGCTCCGCCGCTCGTTTTTATGGCTCTATTACAGGTCACGTCAAGGTACACACAAACCCGCTAGCCACGCAGGCAAAGGGGCATGTGGTAGCTTTGCGCTGTCGGTCGCTTAAAAGTTTGTACGTCCATTAGCAGTTTCTGATTGGCCCAATGCGCACGCTGACTGTGACTTCCATTTTAACGGTGTTTACGGCAATTTTGTCATTGTTTTCATGCAAATACGATTCCAAACATCTTTCTTGGCCGGCAGAGCAGGGCGTTTGCTTTTTGAGAGACAAATATGAATCACACATTTGTGTAATTATGCATGTAAGCACCATTTATCGATTGGACACACCATTTCTATTTCAGATTCTATGATAAAAAATTTAAACAAGCCGGTTGATTGATTAATTTAAAACTGCTTTCTCACACAAAAAATTTTTTACATGCAAACATTACTCTTGGAAGGGTGAATGATAATATGGTACAATTACTGAGCGCGGAGCATCAGTAATAAAAGGCGAATATTACCTCATTAAATTCAAAATTGATATAAACTAATACTCACTAAATCCGAGGTAAAAATTGAATTCTGCTCCCAAAATTAATGACGCCAGCTTAATTCTTAATGCTCGATAACTTTAACTAAAGGTACATGCGATAAAAAAATACAAGGTAACGCTCGTGAAGGTAGTGTCTGGTTTTAACAAGCTTTTCTTAATTACTTCATCATTCGGTTGTAAATGTGTAAAAAAGCTAAAGAACAAGAACCTTATACAGAAGGAGATCCGAGATTTACTTTTGTTTGAGGGCTAAATACGGTGGGGAGCTGATCGCAGATAATTCTTCTTCTTAACGGAGTGTTCCCATTGTTAAATCCCTGCGTTTCCGCGGTACGGTATTTAACGCCAGAGGAAGGAATACTTCATTGAGATGTTGAAAACACTTGTTTGGCTTTCAAATAATTCTTAAAAATAATTCCACCTGAGTTATCAAGAAGCATTCTTGTTTCTCATCTGCATTCAAAATATTAATACCCACGGTCTTTACATGTCTTTACATGTCTTTACTTGGATGGGGGGATAGAGCTGGAGTATGATTTGGAGAGCTTTTTATTGTTTTTTTTTTTTTATTCACATCTCTTTAAGTGTCCCTTTCTAATTCTTACACTAAGGTGGGTAAATTTGAGGGATCTATCTTTTTCCCTTTTTGGATATTTCTAGTGAGCTTCCTTGAAAATGGCCCTTAAATTAAACGTAACTTTGAAGTAATAGTGCAGCAATTTTTCAAATCATTATATTGGGTTTGACGATATATGAACAATCAGAAAAAAGTTGAAAACAACTAAGACTTTCTGATCTTTAGTGCTGGGTATATCAAATAAGAAATTACTGAAATTGGCTTTTCCATGGTCGGCCTTTGTCTTCGTTCCTTTGGTTTTAAGACAAAATCCTTCTCATGCCTCTAGGAAACAAGTGTAATTAATCCTTTTCAAGAAAGTTCAAATTATCTAGATATCTCTAGCCAGGGCTGTGGGAAACTGTCAAAGCGATCCACTAAAAGGAAACATATTGTATTTTTTAAACCGTTAGTGACATTCAATGCGTATGTGGGCTGGACAAAGAAGATAAACAAATGGATGCACTCAAAATAGTTTATTTTTGCTTTCTCAGACTCTGTTTACAATAGCTTCATATCAATTTGATCAATTAATTTATAGCTCTTTCTATTTTGACTGATGATTTTAAAACAAAGAACAACAAGCCCAAGTCCATATTTGACAGGGTACTAAATGACATTTGAGGCATGGTTCATTCATTGTCATTGTATGTGAGCTCCCTCTTGCAGTGCTCCCTAGCCGCCCGACAAAAAGCCCTTCCAGCCAGTTGGTGCTGAAACAGAGACGATAATACGTGAGATATTTAACAGTTATTCCACGAGCGCGCGTTGGATATGAGATGATAGATAGCCAACGAGGCGCTTAGTGCCGAGTTGGCTATAATCATCTCATATCCAACAAGCGCGAGTGGAATAATTTTTTTATTTAAAAACGTTAAATTATATTAAATTTTATTAAATTTTTAGCTCCCTTTTTATTTTAAGCTGACACGTACGCTTGTCATATTTGTAGATTATGGTATATTGGCTGATATACCATAATGGCTAAGCCAATAAAAAGTCTTGAATTGCATTATCCAATGATCTAGTTTTTAATGATTCATGCTATCCAATTGAACCTCTGCTAAAAGCATGTTGTAGTTATTTTTTGGGAACCATAACATGAGTGGGACACTGTACATGGTGTAGTGACACCTACTACACCTCGCCACCTTTCCTTTTAGTAAAGGGAAATTTTACATCCAAAACTGGATCTTGTTCAATGGAAAACATGAACACAAAACTGCGTCAGGTTTCTTTGTTTTTCAATCATTCATAATGTCAGCAAATCTTAGAAGCCTTTGAGTACTTATCATCATTTTTGTTTATTCTTCAATAATATATTTTTTGTCTACTCGCTTTCTCAAGTTAGCGATTAGAGGGTAATAGCATTTACATGTCAGGGATGATCTTCACAGATAAATAATTAAAAAGAAATTTAAACAAATGAAATTTTGAAATTTATTTAGGGATTAATTCAATAAGACTTAGTCTTCATGAAACTTTAATTGTTTAGAATGACTAAAACGGTCTTTCTTTTTCTTTGCCAAGAAAATTCATATCAAGTGTTTTGGACATTAGTAACAAAGTCAGACTGTTGGGTAACACGATAGCACCCGGTTTTTACTTGCAATGACAGGATAAGATTTGAAACAGAATTTATTTCTTAAAGACGCCAACAATAAGTGATAACATGACTATAAAACTCTGATAAGAAATGTATAAACTAATTAAAATCTTCGAATCTCATCAAATCAGACCAGTTTCCTTCAAAAATTCGTTGACCCGATCTTTTTTTACCGTGTCGCTAGTCTTGTCAACAATTCATTAATTCTCATCCAAACTCAACGCTATTGAAAATGTTTAGAGAACGGTTTTCCACCTGGCAACTCGTTTCGTTACGATTCTATATCTTCGCAAAATGTRTCACTGTATGAAGGAGCTAAAAATCATCAAACATCAAAATTTAGGAAACGTCAGATAAAACTGTTTCGTTTTCAAAATAAATCAATCTTGCTATAACAAAAAGTTATCAATGGCCTGTTTTTTTTCTTTTCATGATGATGTTAGCCTTATTGGTCTCACCAAATTGTCTCTGTAAATATAAAAAACTCAGCACCATCCATAACATTTTCATTATTAACCAAACCAAATATTTCGGATTTGTTCCTGGAGAAAAATCTTTTTTCTGACTCACACTGTTCCTCAGACAAGCGAGGGCGTTCATGAACGTAAACAAAAAATACTATTGAATTTATAACAAATTAGAATAATTTATAATCATCTGTAGCGTAGAGTGAAACAACTAATCCATATTAGCCAGAGATACACAAGAAAAGCTTGAAATACTACTATTAATTGAAAAAACCTACTCCGAGCGCTCGTTTTCCTTGTGAAAAAGGAATGTTTCCTCCACCTCCAGCCGTGAATCCTTCACTCTCTGGGAAGAACGACGCAGCCAGGACAAAGAGAGCAAAAACCAGGATCACTTTTGAGCTCATTTTGAATAACAGAAGTTAACGGAGTTTTATGTCGAAATAGAATTCAAGTGCGTTTCTTCTTGATGACCGAGTGGGTATGAGATGGATGATCGTGAAGAAGGTGTTTTTTAATGCCCCAAGAACAAAAGAAATCCTTGTGTAATTTCCGTATGACCGGAATGATGTTTAATCGAAAATAAATTGCGGTTTTGACAGCTTTTGCAAACACTTTTCTTTTAAAACACAGAACGAACTTTCCGGTTTTTTTAGATGTGAATAAGAACAGACGCTTCGAAAACTCTTTAAGAGAACATCTTCAGCGCAGGACCGTTCTAATTTTCAAAGTTAGATGCGAAACTCACTATTTGTAATGGTGAAGTCTTTTAATACAATATTGTTGGGAGTCTATTTTCTAAAGATAACCTTTCCATTCATTATAGCAGCCGGATTTTGGACAAAGAAAACTTTCACGTTTGTTTATATTTTACATGATTTAGATCATATCAATACAAGTTTCTGCCATTGCACGACACTTCCTTAACGAATGCGATGACTTCCTGATGGTAATGTACATATTTCACCACGTGCTCCCAAACAACGCTGGCAGAATATTCCAAAAATATTCTTTTCTTATCGCTATGATAAACTGAAATAAATCGACGCCGTACAAAATCCATTAGAGGTGTAGTCAACATACGCTTACATATGTCTCAGCGAAGAGGAGCTCTTCGTGTTTAGAACAATTACTGACGTGTTCTGCTCAGATTTCAGTGAAGATAAAGTAATAGAACTATAATTGAACTAGTGTCTAAATGACAAAGACAATCATTAATTACATTTGTACTCACTTACTATAGGTTCATACGCGTTAGTTTTAAGCAGCAGCAGAGTTTTAAAAGTCTGGTAATCAACTAACCCTAATTATGGATCACAATATGATCACTAACAAAACTTAAGTTTTATTAACAGAAAAAAATAAATGAAGATAAAACGAATTGCATGTTGTCATTCTGTTTGTCTGAAAAAAGCCACAGGTTTTGTATATGTCTAAAATGTCTCGTCATCATCATTTGATCAAAATGTACAAGAAAATTAAAGTGAATATAATTAATCACATTGTATGTTATTGTGACATTTTGATTACAAACAGTCGAAATTTTAAATCTTTTTTTGGGGAGAATGACATGAAACGGCATTTAGTAGGAGGGAAAGGTTGTCACAGCTGGATCTTCCTACAAAATTGTGTTGACTTTTTATTTTAATACCCACAAGATATGCTTGTCTCAAATGTATTTTGCGTCGGCTGTGTGTACACCCTTGACGAATCTTTTCAATTATTTGTAAAGTGAGCCGTCCACTTTGTGTAAATAGTAGAGAGAATTGTACTCGCTCGATTTGATCATGACGTGGGAAATTGTCGAATGAAAGCATAATTTTTAAAAAAAAAAAAAAAAATTAAAAAATCAAAACTCAAGAGTTGACATTTAAAGCATTACATTCCTAGAATCATTTGATTTCAAATTATTCCACGATAAGGACTAGTGGAAAAAACTGTGGTGTATAGTACTTCCATACGGTGCTGCTTGCCTTTTGGAAGATTGGCAAAATGGAATTAAAAGAAAATTTTTGGAGTATTTTGTTTTGTGCGCAAAAATGAAATTCACAAACACCACTGTTTCCAAAGAGGGATTGATTTTACGTAACAGAAGTTTAAGCGCAATCTATAAGCTGTGGGTTCACCAAAACTTTGCCTCTGGCAATCGAAGGTAGTAATTTAGCTAAAATGATCGTTTTGCATAGACTGTGTAAAATAATAACAGGAAACCTTCTTCCTGGATTTCATACACAGGATGTGTCTCGTCACATCATCAAAAGGAAGCTTTTCTGTTATTCTTCCCGTGAAATCTAATAATACTAGGAGTACTGCCGACTGTGAGAAAGACATATGCTGACAAAATTTCCTTAACTGGGAAATTCAAGCACGTTTAAGGAAGTTATTTCTTGCCTTGCGATGGAGGATCGAAAAAAATGAGAATACGACTTTATAGTCCAACTAGAGAGCTCGTTTGGTGCTATTGTACGAAAAAAAGGTAGCATAAATGTCCGTAATTGCTCGAGCATTATAAATTAAATAGCGAAATACACGATTTTAATTAATCAAATTAACAACACTATGTTTTCTTTATTCTTAACTCTCCGCTACGATCTGCGGTAACAACTGTTTCATACTCATGCAAGTTAGTTTTTTTCACTGAAAAAAAATGAAAACAACTGTTATTCCAAAGTTTCACTGGGCAAACTCAACCTGAGTTGGATTTTTAAATTAAAAACTAGAGCCTATGTTTTCGCTTCGATTTATTTTTATCACGTTCAACTAAAGGAAGAGCGACTACTACTATTCTCATTCAAAAACAAAACAACAACAACAACGATAAAACATCTCTCATGATATCACAAGAATTAAGAGAACTACAAGATTTGAATTAGTCAAATAACATAATGTAATAATGGGTACCTGTGCTATCCTTATTATTTTATTCACGGCTTTCATCCTTATATACTACAAAATGTACGCTTTAATTCAGTTGTGGTGGCGTCATGCAGCAGCTTTATTTCCTCATATTATTGGATAGAAAACAGTCAAAATTAATAGAAACACTCTATGGACAGAAAGAGAATGTTACCTTGATGTAACACTCATTTCTCCTAAGCAATTTATGAGGATATGTATACCACGCTGAAGGGAGAAGCGGGAACCAAATCTCAGAATTCGAAGTGAAAGAGATTTCATTATTTGAGATCAGATACATGTGTTTCTCTTGAAACCAAGTTAGCATTCATTATCAAGAATGAACTCGAATGACCAAATAGCTAACGACATGCGATTTCAGTTTCTAGTTTGTTCGTACGCTCTGTTTCAGATGTGTGAATAGAAAAATAAAAACACTTTTTTACATTTCTTTTACAGGCAGTTCGTGGACAAACCCAGCTTTTTATCCCGAGGCACTCTAGATCTCTTCTTCACGAGCAATGAAGCAGGAACGTCTGAAGGCTTAAACCATATCAGGATCAGAGCACACATTTTATCCTCTTTGATCGCGGGCGTAGCTGTATTGACATAATTTCCAATAAAATGATAGGTATAGGCCATATCAGCATAGATGCACCTTTGTAACAATTCAGAACTCGCAATCATGGTATTTAAATTAACTGTTTTGTTATATGTTGTTTTTTAGTGATAACTGCTCTTAAACGAAATCTTAAAGGAGCCGACTCTGATGAATCCGCCCTATAATTTAAAAACCCGAAGAATTCAGTTATTTTGTTATAATATGAATTTTTAGTGATTTATAAAGCCTTTTCAATAATAATTTTAGTTGAAAGTCAATTCTAGGGCGAGAAATTACGATTTCAAAACCGTTCCGCCATTAATTTTCGTAAGAACTGAAAACTTATCTTCGGTCAGCGGTCACTCCCATTGTGACGTAGATTACTCAAAACACCTTTATATTTATACGGAAACCTCTTGAAATTTAGTGAAATAGTCTTAGTCTCAGTGTTATAAAAAGCAATATATACGATCAAAATACTGGTTTTGAAAATTAGCCACGATCACGGCACGTCAAATGAGTAATCTACGTCACGGTCCCTCCCATTTTTACGTAAATTACTCAACACAATTTTATATTTATACAGAAATCTCATGAAATTTAGTGAAATAGTCTTAGTCCTAGTGTTATAAAAAGCAATATAGACGATCAAAATACTGTTTTTGAAAATTAACCACGAGAACTGCGCGTCAAATGAGTAATCTCCAAACTCGTGCCAGTCTTCTTGAGCCTGCGAAGTGATTACGAAAATTAATGGCGGAACGGTTTTCAAATCGTAATTTCTCGTCCTAGAATTGACTTTCAACTAAAATTATTATTGAAAAGGCTTTATTAATCACTAAAAATTCATATTATAATGAAATAACTGAATTTTTCGGGTTTTCAAATTATAGGGCGGTTTCATCAGAGTGCTCCTTTAATGCCTTTATTTAAC